AGATTATGTAAAATTTCTGCATATATTTCTGAAATAATTTTGAAGTTGCTTAATGTTGAAAACGTGTCGCACATTTCCCGTAGGGTAAGTTATTGTAATGGGCCAAAAATCGGAATTGAAAATTTTTACATTTCTCGACGTTTTGAGGGTTTCTGAACATTTTGGCATACCTCAAAAAAAATGGATGTGTGTGTGTGTATGTATGTATGTATGGATACAAATTTCCAGTCACGTTTTCGGGCGCAGATCAACCGATTTGAATGGTTCAAAAAACATTCGATTCCTATCGATAGGGAAAAGAGCTGATTAGTTTTTGGCAAAAGCAGTTCCAGCCGTTTCGGGGATACGGAGAAAAGAGTGTAGAAAATAGAAATCGACTTTTTGAGAGAACGGAGTATCCGATTTGAATGATCTAAAAAACATTCAATTAGTAATGATTGGGAGAAGTGTTTATTAGTTTTTGGCAAAGGCAGGCCCAGCCATTTCGAAGATACGGAGCTAAATATGTAAAAAATGGCAGTTTTTGAAAGAACTAAGCGTCCGACTTGAATGATTCAAAGAACTTTCTGCTTGTCTTAACAAAATAATTGATTTTGGAAAAAAAAAATTTGTTTCAATTTTTTTTTTTTTTTAATTTTTTGTATATCGAAAATAATTCAGATTTTATTTTTAATTCTGACTATGGTTCTAATATACTTAGACCATTTTTAACTTTCCATGGTATAAGTAATAATAATGGGCCATAAATAAGAAATGAAAATGTTTGCATATCTTTACGTTTCAGAGGTTTGTGAACATTTTGGCATACCTCAGAATAAATGGATGCGTGTGTGCGCGTGTGTGTGGAGACAATTTTTCGTCGACGATTCCGGGCGTATGGATTAACCGATTCAAATGGTTCAAAAAACATTCGAATTCTATTGATGATGAGACGTGCTGATTAGCTTTTGACGAAAACCAGCGGTTTCGGAGATATGGAGCAAAAAGTGCTAAAAATTTAAGTTTATAAGAGAACGGATTAACCGATTTGAATGATCCATAAAACATTTGATTCGTAATGATGGGGAGAAGTCGTAATTATTTTGGCAAAGGCAGGTCGAGCCGTTTTGGAGATATAGAGCTAAATGTGCAAAAAATGGCAGTTTTTGAGAGAACTAAATTATTGCTTTTGGGAAAGAATTTTTTTTTATTTATTTTTTTTAATTTTCAAAAAAAAATTTTAATATCAAAATATAATTCGGATTTAAATTCTCATTCTAGATAAAGTTTTAAATATCACTTCGAAAACATTTAATATTCCTCGAATATTTCATTATGGTACGAGAAGTTCCAGCAATTTGCCATACACCACCAGCTGATTTTCAAATTCCACTTTTTGCAACTTTTTGCATTGGATCTCCGAAACCACTAGACCTGGCTTTCAAAAATTTCATCGGTTTTCCATTTCATCAACACAAGTGAAATATTTTTTAAATCATTTAAGGGGCTACATGGGTTTCCTCAGGCAAAGAAACGGCCTTTTTAACTTCCCGAAGGAGAAGTTTCTTTTCATCAAAAAATCCGATTTGCTAATTTTATGTTTTCTCGACGTTTCAAACTATTCCGAATCGAATGAAACCAAATTTGGAAAAAGTATGTGTGTGTGCGTGGGCGTGTGCGTGTGCACGAAATTTTGCTGTAAATCAACGTTTTCTCAAAAACGGCTGGACCGATTTCAAAAATTTAAAAGCCATTCGATGTATTTCAATAAGGACTAGCGTTTGTCAATTTTACGCGACTATCAGCCAAGCCGTTTCTTTGTAAATAGCAGAAAAGTGAAAAAAATTTCGTCCACGTTTTAGCCCGCAATTCTGAATCGATTTTGAAAATTTAAAAACCGTTCGAAAGATATTGGCTGGGAAAGATACTGATTAGTTTTTGGTAAAGGTCGGCCGGGCCGTTTTCTTGTAATAAAGTATTGCAAAAAAATTTTTTGACGATTTTTATTATTATTTTTTTGACGGTAGATACCACAATCGACAAGCTAATCGAGTTGTCGCAGAGCCATAATATTTTAGTATGATATAAAAGTCTATGCATAGACTTTTATATCATACTAAATTATTACGGCTCTACGACAACTCGTTTAGCTTTAAAAATTCGTCAAAGTTTGCAAAATTTAGTATCGCATTTTTGGCACTTGTCAAAATTCGACCTTTCATCGACGTTTGCTCAAAACGCCTGAACCGATTTTAGAAATTTAAAAACCATTTGATGTCTCTCAATGAGGACTATCGCTTGTCAGTTTTGTGCGGTGATCTGCCAAGTCGTTTCTTTATAATTCGGAAAAAAGTGTTAAACTTTTTGTCCACAATTAAGCTCATACTACCGAATCGATTTTCACAAATCGAAAACTGTTCGAAAGATATTAGTTGGGAATGATACTGAATAGTTTTAGGTGAAAATCTACCGAGCCGTTTTCTTGTAATTAACTGTTGAAAAAAAAATTTAAGCCGATTTTATGGAACTTTTTTTGGCGATATATATCATGGTCTTACAGAACTTACTGAAATATTACTGTCTTAGAACAATAAGTAGTTTAATTTTAAAATTTCATCAAAATTTGAGAAAATGAGTAGTTTTTTTGACGTTTGTTAAAATTAAAATTAGACGATTTACTTGGTATAACGATAGAGTACATGGTCTTAATGAACATACTAAACCATTAAAGACCTACGGAAACTGGTTTAATTATGAAAATTATTGATTTGTGAACATTTGCTTTTAGAAAATACTCCGAGTTTACGTGTTCGCGTTTTCAAATATCACTCAAATTATTTTATTTTTTTGATTAAGTCGATTATTTTAACATATCGGGACGTTCATGTTACTTGCCTCAAGGCAAAATACCAATACCAACTAGTTTCAATTATGTTTTTTACATATAAAAAATGAAATATTTTATTGAATTTTTTTTTATTTAAAAATTTTTCGACATTCTTAAATAGTTGTAATTAAACAAAAGGAAAATCCTTCGTTTAAGACCTTGTAAACGATATCTCAAAGACCTGTGTAAAATTTCATCAAGATCAGTTGAGTAGTTCCTAAGAAATCTTGACAACCGTCTTTGAAAACATAGTTTTGAGAAAAACGCGTTTAAAGTTTTAAGAGACGACAAAGGTGGACCTCAAGCGTCCACGTTTTCAAGGCTGTATCTCCGAAACTATTAGTCGGGTCAACTTAAAAATTTAGGACCTTATACTAGAGATGTTATAGAATTTAATAAGACAAAAAAAATTTTTTGATTTTTTGAAATCATGAAACCCATGTAACCCCTTAAATCGGGCGTCGTTACTTTAAAAACGAAATTACCATTTTTGACATTTTTTCCCCCGAATCTCCAAAACGGATGGCATGCCTTTGCCAGAAACTAATCAGCACGTCTCCTTATCAGTAGGAAGCGAATGCTTTTTGAATTATTCAAATCGATTAATCCGTGTTCGCAAAATCATCGTCGAAAATTTGTATCCGCGCACTAACACGTACATACATTTTTTCTAAGATATGCCAAAATGTTCAGAAACCTCTCAAACGTAAAGATATATAAAAATTTTCATTTTCGATTTTAATGCGATTACTATAACTTACCCTACGGGAAGTTAATAAAATAAAAACTTGTTTAGAGGTACATTTGCACCGTTCATACCAAAATGCTTATTTATCCAAAAATAATAACTACTTAGCTGTAAGTGGAATTCTGTCTTAAGGCAATTAAGGCATCGTGCCTAAAGGCAAATTGCTGGAACTTCCCGTACAAAAAATTATGATTTTTTTTAAAACGATTAACATTTTTGAAAAAATTAGGCCTTTTGAGACAAAAATTTACTTCAAAAAAATTAGAATTTTGAGAAACTATAAATTTGACAAAAAATTACTTTTTTTTGGAAAAAAATTTTTTTTTTTGAAAACAAATTTTTTTTTTTGAATGCAAAATTTTTTTGAAAAGAAAAATGTTTACTTCATTTTGACATATTTTGGAAATTCTGAACTTTTTTTCAAAGCAATCGTACTGCTTGAACTGCATAGAGACGAAATGTCAAAGCGCGCAAGTGCCGCGCCGCCGTCTAACTCATAAGCATTGGTACGGAACCCATAGAAATGGAAAAAAAAAATTACTTATCGTTAAAATCTCTAAAAAAATACTTATAATTTGATGTGCATATGTCTAATGATCATTTTTAACCGCCGAATGGCATTTTTTTACTTTTTTCATTAGATCTTCGAAACCGTTAGCCCTGCCTTCATGAAAATTTTATGAAATCATTATCTTGTCAATACAAGTAAAATGTTTTTTAAATTATTCAAATCGGACGCTCCGTTCTCTTAAAAACTGAGTTACCGTTTTCGGCACTTTTTGCCCCGTATCTTCGGAACAGGTAGACCTGCCTTCGCCAAAAACTAATCAGCACGTCTCCTTATCAATACGAATCGAATGTTTATTGAATTATTCAAATCGGTTGATCCGTGCTCCCGAAATCGTCGACAAAAATTTGTATCCGCACACACACATACACGCACATACACACACACATATACATCCACTTTTTCTAAGGTATGCCATTGGCAATGTTCAGAAACCACTCAAACGTAAAGATATATAAGAATTTTCATTTTCGATTTTTTTGCGATTACTATAACTTGCCCTACGGGAAGTTAATAAAATAAAAAATTATTGAGGGGAACATTTGCACCGTTTATGCCACAATGCTTATTTATCCAAAAATATTAATAATAAAATATTTATCGATGATTTGTGCTATCGAATAATATTTTAAAAATGGATTTGTTAGTGGTATGGCAGCACTGACAAATTTATATGATAACGTTGGCAACATTTTAGTTATAAGCGACATGCGACATGAGTGAAGGCTGTCGGCTGAAGTGAAGACGCCATTTTTATTTGTCGTATTTAATTGTTTAATTTATTGTACCTACTGATTTTATAAGATGTATTAACAAGTATACGTCTTGATTAATTGTGTTTTTTATGTATTTCTGCATAATAATTATGGTGATAATATATTTCTGAATGTCAACAGGTGATTTTATTTGGTTGGGCAAATTTTCACCAGGTATGTTATCATACTCGTTCTCGTTATTTTTATTTCAATGATGATACTGCGTCAAATATATAGCATAAAATCTTAATGTCGATACATGAATTCACTGAATCGATACCGAAGTAATTGTTGAGTACAAATAGGCGTTTGTATTTTAGGTTATCGTTCCTTGCAGTTGAGATAACGTTTTAGTTTCTTTACCCTTTACTAAAATTTTTGGATACAAATTTTATAAGTGCTATATCGAGGCTAAACATGTCTGAAGAAACAAGTTCTACTGTAGCGATTAAAATGGAACCAGTTGAATATCCTCAAGAGGAGGAGCAAGAATTTGATGATAATCCACAAGTAAATCAAGAATTAGTTGATTATCCTCAAATTAAACAAGAATTAGTTGATTATCCACAAGAAAATCTAGAATTAGTTTATCATCAACAAGAGAATCAAGAATTAGATAATTATCCACAAGTGAAACAAGAAGTAGATGATTACGAAGTTATGGAAATATGTCAGGAAAATGAAGAAACATATGTCCAGCAATCTTCAGAATCTGAGACTGCATCAGAAGAAGAAATAGAACAGGATGCAATTTATAAGCCAGGCGCAGTCACTACTAAAAGGCAAAGAAAAAAGAAACCTCATATATGTAAAGTATGCAATAAAATATTTGCAACAAAATATACCTTAAAAGATCATGAAACAATCCATACCGGAGAACGCTCTTATAAATGTGAATTATGTGACAAAACATTTGCAACAAAAACAACATTGAATCGGCATGAATTAGTTCACACAGGAAATCGCCGTCACAAATGCGAAATATGTGGTAAAACATTTACTGACAAATTTCAATTAAACAAGCATGAAACAGTTCATACTGGAATCCGGCCATATAAATGTGAAATGTGTGATAGAACTTTCACAACAAATTATGTGTTAAAAATACATATAGCAAACCATACCGGAGAAAGCCCTTTCAGTTGTGAAAAATGCAATAAATCATTCACAACAAAACGAGCACTAATCCAGCACGAATTGATCCATACTGGGGAAAGTCCTCATAAATGTGAAACTTGTCATAAAACATTTACAGCTAAACATTCGTTAACCAAACATGAAATCATTCATACTGGAGAGCGTCTTTATAAATGCGAGACATGTGGTAAAACATTTACAACAAAATATGCATTAAAGCTGCATGAAGTGATACATACTGGGGAAAGCAATCATAAATGCGTAAGTTGCAATAAAACATTCCAAACAAAACAAGCATTGATGCGGCATGACATAACTCATACTGAAGATCGACCTTATAATTGTGAACAATGCGATAAAACATTCAAAACAAAAGCAGCATTAAGACAACATAGAATTGATGTCCACACCACGGAACTCTCTCATGAATGTGCAACATGCAACAAATCATTTGCGACAAATCGAAGATTAAAACAACATATAAAGATTCATATGGTTGCAACTGCTGCTGATTTGCAACCAATAGAAGAAATCAGTTGAAAATGCTTTCTTTCAATAAATATCACGAGCAGTGTTGTCAGAGTTAAACTCACATAAATTTGTCTCAAGCATAAGGGAATTGGAAAACTGCAGACAAAAGTTCTGTTGATTTATTGTATTGTGCTACTATATTATAAATACAATTGCAGATGAGTACTTTTACCTAACAATATTACCTGGAGCCTCTTTTCTGAGGTTTGAATACTGAAAACAAAAGCGGACGAATACCCAAGATCAAATGAACTTGTTTAATAGGTCATTTAAGATTTTTTAAATCATTTAAGATATGGAGGATGAATATGTCCATTATAAAGTTGGGGAATCCTGAAGTTTCGAGATTTATCTAGGTATATTTACTAGATCAGAACTTATTTGGTTCTCTTATTGAAAAATTTGAAGTCATGGATCAAATGGCACATAAACAGTTTCCCAAAGAGTAAGATGAAGAAGGAACCCAAAAGCTGGTGCACCAGGAGTAAGAAAAATTAATTGTATAGTCCACTTCTTGTACATTTTAATTGTTCCAACAAATTCCATTTAGTTGTACTTTAAGAGAGCTTTATATATTTTATAAAAATGTAATGATATTGAAAATATAATAATTAGTTGGAAATGAAATTGGCTTTTTATAATTTTCATTAATGCTAAACCAATGAACAAATATAATGTTGACTTTTCACAACATTTTCAGTCTATCCAGAACATTTATAGATTATCCAAAACATTTTCAGAGTGTATTATATATTTTCAGAACACCTAAAACATTTTCAAATTATCTAGAATGTTTTAAGACTATCTAGAATATTTTTATATTATTCAGATCATTTTTAGATGTATAATACATTTTCAGAGTATTCAGAACATCTGGCCCCTAGGTTGTATCTTTAAGGCCAGTGATTGCAATGTGGCACAGAAGGAAAAATCTTGTTTTTCATAGCTTGTTTTATATGTTTGTACTCTCAAGTACGAATGTTTTATTTCATTTCTACTAATTGGGCAACACTAATAACATTTCAACTGCGAATTTAACGCGAAAAAATTTGAAATTATATATTATATAGTTAAATGAAAAAAAGATAGATTTTAGTCTGATATTATTTTAAAATCATTTAAATTTATTTTTTTGAAGTAAAACTTCTTTAGGCGCGACTAGGGTGTAAATCCGTACAAATGCAACGAAAATGCGTAATGCCAGAACTGTACGTTATTCGCTATTGATGAAATCATTTCTATACAGGTCGATTGTGATTACACGTCGTGTATGTGAATAGAGATCTATCGTTGTATGCGTACCGGCATCAACGTTGTATGCGTTCCGATATCAACAAGGAAATCGGAATGGATAAATAAATATTTTAAAGTTATATCGTAGTACAAATCTTGATTTGATAAAAAATGCCCGAATCAGAAGAAAATTTTACCCTGTTCCTTGAAAATAATAAAGCAAATTAAGCATTTGTGCCATGTACTAAACGCACGTTTATTGATTAGAAATAATTTCTATATTATTCGTAGTTTTTATAAATCTTTGAAGTTATTAAAATGGAAAATAATTTTTAGGCAATACAGTTATTACAGCTGTTCAAAGAATGAGATTATATCGCCAGCGAAAAAGTAAAAAAATACAAGCCGTCAATGAATGTATGTTAATTTTAATTACATGAAGTTCTTCAAACACAATTACATGATGAGTGAAGTTGCAAAAACAATATTTGTTTAGGCGTTATTTACTATAATCCACTGCGTGAACGAATATTATAGAATTTATTAATCAGCAATTACTTCATTTCTCTAATGAAGGTCCAAGTCCTAAATGCTAATTACAATGACAAACCCATCATGTCATATTTGAAGTATGACTTTAATTACATTATTGTTTTTAAATATTATACATATTTTTAATGCTATTATAAATATATAATTTATTATTATATAAATATGTATAATGGTTGACACTAATAAATGTGTGCATCACGAGTGTTAATAAACATTATTTAAAATTGTTATGTAATGTATTTATTTTTACTTAAATGCCATCTTGTACAGTAGCAAAAAAGTTTTACTTCAATCGCGTGTGAACCTTACGCGCACTTTTTTGCATTTTTTATGGTGGGTTTTCCTAAATTCTTGGTAGCTTTGTTTAAATAACATATAGTACACCTAGTACACATTGTTTTAAACATAAAGTGCTCAAACATAGAAGGAACTGTGACATCACATGTCTGAGCGAGCATTGCCGACGGCAATCGCGGAACTCTCACGATTGATAAGTGATATGTCATATCATTTATTTTAATTATGTAAATACATGAACACTATACTAGACAACACAACAATTTTCACATTGAACACAATAGAAAGAAGAATTTCAGAGAAAATGTCATATGGAGTGCCAGCAAAACATATAACGAATTGCCAAACAATATTAAGATGACCAAAGATGACGATAAATTTAAAAGAAAAATAAAAAAACACTATAAGGAAATTGAAGACCAAGAAGACTGAAGAGTGATATATAAAGATATTTTTAGTTATATATAGATATTATATTAATGAAATAGATTATTATAGTCAAATGAAATGTATATATTATATGAAAACTGTTTTCATAATCTCTCATACCAGGCAACTCTGCCTGACTGAGATATGAAAATAATGTATATATATATAAAAAAAAAAAAAAAAAAAAAGGCAATTGTGATGATTGATGATTTTGTAAAAAATGATATTAATAATTTTTATCATAATAGTTAATTTAATTCAAATATTATCTGTGATAGTTTTATTTCAATAATATAATGGCAATTGTGATGGAAATGATATTAATAATATTCTGAAATGTGAAATAAATGTACAAAAAATCGAATCCACCTGTTAAAATCGGTTCATATATTTTGAAGCTTATTATGTTAGGCACTTAACATATGACATATGTCATTTGACCAATCAGGAGAGTCCGCAATTGTCGTCGGTAATGTCCGCTCAGACATGTGACGTCACATACCTTTCTATGCACTTCTATGATGCTTCTATTTTTGAGCACAACTGAAAACATATGAGGACTAGCAATACATGTAGTGTAATGTCTATGAATCCACTTCATACAAAATGTGGTAACCACGGTTACACAAAACCAATACTCAACAAAGTACTTTTGACGAGCAAATGTTCCAAAATACTTAATTTTATCAAATTTAATATCAATCAGTTATCTGTTATTAATGCAGAAGTTAAAAATCGTCCTAATAGGACCTCCCCAGTCCGGAAAATCAATGATAGCCAACTCCTTGTCCGAGGTGAACGAAAACCTAGAAATCTATCCGACACAAGGTTGTCGAATCGTCGAATTTGAACTAAATGACATCTACGTCAACCAGAAGTCAACCAACGTGTTGATCGAACTCTGGGACTGCAGTGGCCAACACAAATTCAGCAACTGCTGGCCAATTATCAGGCACATGGCTCAAGGAGTCGTCCTGGTGCACACCGAGTACAACCAGGGGACCCAACAGGAGTTGGATTTGCTTTATAATTACTTTGTTACCCAGAATGGACTCAGTGCCAAGTGTTGTCTGGTTTTTAACCATACTGGGGATAGAGTTGGTAAATTGGGTTCCAGTTTTTTGAGGATTTCTCAGGTCAAAGTCGATTTGGCGGAAGTCGAGGTGCTGAAGAAGGATTTTTCTGAGTTTATTAGCTCTTTGTTGCAAGAGCAAAGTGGTGACGGCAGGGGTAGTGGGAGTTCTAGAAGTGGGATACAAAATTATACAGGAATGTATTAGGAAAATAGGATAAATTAATGCATATTAATAAATATATAAAATAGACGTGAATAAAATTGTAATTTTTAAAAACTCATGTTTGTAATATATGTATATATATATATATATATATATATATATATATATATATATATATATATGGACTTAAAGACAACTACATACAGACAAAAACAAATGAACACTACACTACACTAAATGTAACAGCTAGCAATAGCTCAAACATTCAAAACTAAATATGATTTTACGTTAAAAAACTAGATTTGTGTACATAGTTGTTATAAGGCTGAACACTGAATGAATAGTATTTCCATTTTTTTTTTTAATATGTAAAATGGTAAAACATGCTTTTAAAAAGTAATAATGACAGGAACATGCTTCATTCAGTATTTAATGCTGTTTGAAAATTGGTTGAGAAATATTTTGAATTCATTACAAAGCGAATTACTGTCAGTCGTTTATTTATGGCTTTATTGCATAACGAAATTAGATAACCCTCACTAAATCTTCTTTTAAATTAATTAGTTTCAAAATGTAAGACACTCAGGTTAAGGAAATCGATGTTATGCTAAATATTATTTATGTGCTCTGTGAGCATTGTTTTGTTCTGATTCTTGTTGTTTGAATTATTTCTATGTTGAGCAATTCTTTTGTGTAAATTTTGACTAGTTTCACCTTCATAAGCTTCGTCAAAGTTGAGACAATTGAATCAAATCAAATTTAGATATAATATATATTTAATATATATATGTATATATATATGGTAAACTTGTTTCTTGGGCATCCATCCAGTAACTAAAAAACAGTTTTATTGAAAAATGTTTTTATTTAGAGAAACATACATGTTTACATTTAGAGAAGCTTTTTTATAATAAGATATATTATTTATTTTAATTTTACAATTTTTTAAAAAAAAAATTTCAAACCTTGACGTCTTATCAATTTTTTATTTCATATTTATTTTTTCGTGCAATTTTGTGTGTTTTTTGTGTTATTTTTTTAAATTTATTTGTATGCACTGAAGATGGGTCAAATCAAAACCCGAAACTTATGTTTCTCTAAATAAAAACATTTTTCAATAAAACTGTTTTTTAATTACTGGATGGATGCCCAAGAAACATTTTTATCATATTATTTCACCATCTGAAGAAAAACCTCTCGCTTTATGTTTTTATATATATATATATATATATATATATATATATATATATATTATGCACACATAATGTACATAGATTTTTGGTTCGACGTTGTCGATATTGTATACGTTTTGGCGCTTTATGCGTGTCATCATTCAGCAAGTTCACATCAGAAGGAAACACTATTATTTGAACTAATAAATTTATATTTACATTATTAAACGATTATATACAATACACTTTTATCAGTAACAGAGTTAAAAATACATAAATTGCAATTCAACAAGGTTGGATAGATTCCGGCAAATTCAAGAGTTTGTTGAACGTTTTCTTACAGGGCGTATTCCAGCATGTACTACTTTTACATGTCGCATTAATGCATTTTTTCTTACAAATGCTTTATTGCAAATTTTACAACTATGAGGACGTTCTCCAGTGTGAAGCAATTTATGTTCAATTAATGAGTGTTTTGCTGTGAATGTTTTATCGCATATTTCACAGTTATAAGGACGCTCTCCAGTGTGAACCATTTGATGTCTTTTAAGGTTTGGCTTTTGTGTGAATCCTCTGTTGCATATTTCACAATTGTAAAGTAATCCGGTGTGACACTTTTTATGCGATTTAAGGTAGCGCTTTGTTGAGAATGATTTATTGCATATTTCACAACTATAAGGACGTTCTTCAGTATGAACTGTTCCATGTCCTATTAATCCCATTTTTCTTGCAAATGTTTTATTGCATATTTCACATACATAAGGACGTTGTCCAGTGTGAATCTTTTTGTGTTCATTAAAATTATTCTTTCTTTTGAATGTTATATGACATATTTCACATTCATAAGGTTTTTCTGTAGTGTGAATTATTTTATGTTTATGTAAATATTGCTTTATTTTGAATTTTTTATTACATATTTCACATTCAAAAGGTCTTTCTCTGGTGTGAATCATTTTATGTAAATTTAAAAGTGTCTTTATTGTGAATGTTTTATTGCATACTTCACAACTAAAAGAACGCTCACCAGTGTGAACCATTTTATGACGCTTTAAATTTTGCTTTCTTTTGTATGATTTATGGCAATATTCACAACTATATGGTTTTAGATTATTGTTTACTCTACATTTTTCAGAAACAGTTTCAAATGATTTGTTCGTATTACTTGAATTACTGATTTCTTCAAAAAATATGTAAGATTTTTTTTCTATACTTGTATTAGTTGCAGCATCTTGCCTGTCAATCCTTTCTTTCTTTATTCCCTCCTCAACCGTAACCTCAGATTTTAAGAATTGCTGTAAACATATTTCATCATACTCCATACTCATATTTGATGTATATTCATAATCATCAAATTCTTGTTTCACTCGAAAATCTTGCTCATCGATACTTTCTTGCTTTATATCCTCATCAACCATAACCTCTGATTTTAGAAATTGCTGTAGACAAGTCTGATCATTCTCCATACAAATACCTGCGTTGTTTTCATAATCATCAAAATCTTGTTTAACTTGAGGATATTTGATCGGTTTAATTTTAATTGTTGTGTTTGAATTTGTTTCTTCGGACATTTTTGACTTTTGTAGGTTATGGTAATTGCTGTCTAAAGATTACTTTCTTCCTAAAAGTCGAAAAGCCTCGTTATTTATGTGTCATGAACGTATAATAAATATATTTTGATATTTATTAACATATTGTAATACTAACACTGAACTTTTTGTTATTATTTTATATTTTCATTTGCTTTATTTTTGCACTTTGATAATTTGACAGTTCCACTTCGTTTAGGTTAGACGTTAGACAACATTAAAAACATTTCGATTGCGAGTTTATCAAGGCTACCAACATAGATAAATAAGCTACCGAGAATTTGAAAATGACGACTTTGAATGATAATGAAAATTTAAATGAATACGTTTTACACCATTAGTAGGCCACAATCTATTCCTTTTCCTGGTTATGATAATAATATATGATTTTAAATTTTGCCACCGTTAAATTTGAAGTTGAAATGTTTTTGGTGTTGCCCAATCGGAGCAAAGGAGGAATGTCAAATTGTCAAAGCGAGTAAATAAAGCAAAGGAAAATATAAAATAATAAAAAGGTCAGTGTTAGTATTATGACGTATCAATATATTTTAAGATATATTCATTGTACGTTCATAATACATAAATTACAAGGCTTCTTGACTTTTAGGAAGGAAGAAATCTTTAGACAGCCTACAAAAGTACCATAGCCTACCAAAGTCAAAAATGTCTGAAGTAGCGAATTCAATCACAACAATTAAAATGGAACCAATCGAAGATTCTCAAGTTGAACAAGAATTTGATCATGTGAATGCAAACGACGAAATATGTCTTCAGAAGTTTTTAGAATCTGAGGTCATTATTGATGAAGAAATAAAGCAAGAAGCGATTGAAGGTCAAGAAGCTGTGACAAGTCCAGACCAGATAAGTGTAGATGAAAATTCTAATACAAGTAATACAAAAATGGTTACAAAAAAAAAACGAAGTACCTATAGGAGACAATCTCATAAATGTGAAACTTGCAATAAAATATTGTCCTCAAAGCAAGGATTAGAACATCATCAAATGATCCACACTGGAGAGCGCCCTTTTAAATGTGAGATATGTAATAAAGCATTCAAAGCTTTAGGTATATTAAACCGACATAAAGCTCGCCATGCCAGACCACGCTTATATAAATGTGAGAATTGCGATAAAGCATTCTTATCACAATATATATTAAGCCAACATGAAATGACCCACATTATACGCTCTTATGAATGTGAGATATGCGGTAAAACATTCAATAAACTATGTGTATTAAAAATGCATCAAGCAGTCCACACCGGAGAACGCCCTCATAAGTGTCTAATATGCAATGAGACATTTATACAAGCAAACAATTTAAAACTACATTTATTAAAACATGCTGGAGTGCGTCCTTACGCTTGTGCAACTTGTAATAGAACATTCCCAACAAAAGCTAGATTAAGCCAACATGAAATAAGCCATAGCGAAGAAAGACCTTATACATGTGAACTATGCAATAAAGCCTTCAAATCAAAAAAGTACTTAAAAAGACACGAGGTTAGTCATTATGGAGAATATTGTCATCAGTGTTACAATTGCGATAAAATATTCAAAAGAAGCCAGGAATTAACTGCACACGAATTGACTCACTCTGAAAGCATTTATAAATGTGAAACATGCAATAAAACATTCTCAAGAAAAAAATCATTGAATATACATGAAAGGATCCACACTGGCCAATGGCTTTTTAAATGTGAAATATGCTACAAAACTTTTACAACAAAAAAATCATTGAAGTGCCATGAAGTGATTCATACTGGGGAACGCCCTTATAAATGCGAAATATGCAATAAGGAGTTTACTCGATCACAAACTTTGAGAGTGCATTTAATTGTGCATAGTGAAGATCGAGAGCATGATTGTGATACATGCAATAAATCATTCAAAACAAAACAAGCATTGAATCAACATAAAGTTGTCCATATTGAAAGTCCATATAAATGTGACAAGTGCAGCATTGCATATAAAACAAAACGGTCATTAAAACGACATGCAAAAACTCATTTGGAATATTGAAAAAAAAATTCAAGTGGTTTAAAGAAAATATACATATTGTACCAGGGGGATATAGTATGATTTTTTTTTATATGATGACGCCTATAGAAAGAATTTTAGGGATGAAGATTTTATTTTGTTAATTTTTAATTTATTTATAGTTATTATAGATTTATTCATATTGGAGTTTGAGATGTTTGTTTTCTAATATTTTTTAATAAAAACATTTTGATTGATTTCAACACCATATTTTATATCTATTAGGAAATAATGACATTGAAAATTAATACATATTGATTTATTTACTTTCCATAGGGTGAGTTATTGTAATCGTCCAAAAATCAAAGTTGAAAATGTTTGCATATCTTCATGTTCTGAAGGTTTCTGAACATTTTGGCTTTAAATGATACAATGATAATGAAAATTAAAATGAATAGGTTCTCCACTAATATTAGACCACAATGTAACTCTTTTCCTCGGTACTGTTTGATGATAATATCCTAGACAATAATAGAATATGATATATTCATGGATAAAATTTTATTTTAAATTTTGCCGCCGTTAAATTCGAAGATGAAGTGTTTCTGGTGTCGCCCAATCAGAACGAAGGAGAAATGTCAAATTGTCAATTTAGTTTATACAATTGTGTGTATGGCATCGTGCCTTAAGGCAAATTGCTGAGGAACTTCTGTAACAAAATGTTCGAGGAATATTAAATGTTTTCAAATAAATTATTATAAATAAATACTGTAACATTGTCTAATATTTATAAGAATTATATAAACTGAATTGCAAAGTTGAAAATATTTGTTTAAAGTATATTAGAACTTAAGTCAAAATTACAATTAAAATCAGAATTATTTTCTATACAAAAAAAATATTGTTTGAAAAAAAATATTGGAACAAATATTTTTTTCCAAAAGCAATTATTTTGTTGTGTTTTGTACAAGCAGAAAGTTCTTATTATTCAGTTCGTTAGTTCTCTCAAAAACTGCAATTTTTTGCACGTTTAGCTCTGTACTCCGAAACCGCTCTGTACTCGATTTCTATTTTGTGCGATCTTTGCTAAAAACTAATGAGCACATCTCCCTATCAATAGGAATCGAATGTTTTTTGAACCAATCAAATCGGTTGATTCGTGCGCCCGAAAACGTGGACGAAAAATTGTATCATCCATACATACATACACACACACATCCATTTTTTCTGAGGTATGCCAAAATGTTCAGAAACCTTCAAAACGTCGAGAAATGTAAAAATTTTCAATTTCGATTTTTGGCCCATTACTATAACTACCCTATGGAAAGTTAAACAGGTCAGTGTTAGTATTATAACGTATCAATAAATATTAAAATATATTCATTGTAAGTTCATAACATATAAATTACAAGGCTTCTCGACTTTTAGGAAGGAAGTCATTTGTAGATAGCAATTACCATTACCTACAAAAGTTGAAAATGGCTAAAGAAACAAATTCAAACACAACAATTAAAATTGAAATGATCGAATATCCTACGTTGAACAAAAATTTGGCTACTTTTTTTAAGTGAAATGAGTATTAAATGATTATCCTCAAGTAAAACAAGAATTTAGTGATTACAATAATATTTGCCCGGAAAATGATGAAATAAATCTACAGGGGTTTTTAAAATCTGAAGTAACAATCGAGGAGGAAATGAAACATGAAACGATTCCGGAGCAAAATGCAACCAGCCACGATACATTTTTAGTTGCTGAAAGAACGATTGAAGAAATCAGTAAGTCAAGTAATTTGGTGGTTGATACAAGCAATTTCAGCACCTCTTCCGATAGAGTTTTGGGAAAATGTGAAACTATCCATAATTTGCAATCTTAAATGTGCAATATGCAATAAAACATTTGGAATGAAACTGTCACTAAACCAACATAAACTGATAAACATAAAATGATTCATACTAGAGAACGCTTTCACAAATGTGAAATATGCAATAGCAGATTTTTAGATTCAAGTAGTTTTAAAAGGCATTTATTTTTGCACGGTGGAAAACGTCCTCATAAATGTGAAAAATGTGATAAAACATTCATTAAAAGACCATAAAATGATTCACACTGGAGAATTTTAAGTAAATTAAATCCACATAAGTATACAATATGTAATAAAACATTCAAAATGAAACAAACATTAAAATAGCATGAAAAGGTCCACACTTTAGATTGAAATTTCATCAAAGTATAGTTTTTTAAAAAAATGCAACTGACAATATAAATTTAAAATAACTGTGAAACCCTAAACTGGCCCAACTTTATAATCCTTTTTACTTGTTCAATATTTATCGTCAGGATATTAAATGTAAATTAGGATTTTTTGTTTCAGTAACAAGTATTCTTCTTCACATGTATTATATAATAAACATTTAAAAATGTTAATATAAATCTTTCATCGATTATAAATATATAATAATATTGTTTTTGTTTTATATTTATCACACACATACTAAATCAATACTCTTGTTGACTTCTTGTAAGACGATTATTTGCATATATTGGGAAATTTATACAACTTGCCTTAAGGCAAAATGCTACTTGCAAATAGTTAATAAATGTTTTTAATGAATGTATGGCATCGTGCCTTAAGGCAAATTGCTGGAACTTTTCATATCGTAACAAAATGTTCGAGGAATATTAAATGTTTTCAAATAGATTATTATAGCTAGAGTAACATTGCCCAATAATTATAAAAATTACATTAACTGAATTGCAAAGTTAAAATTATTTATTTAAAGTATATAAGTGAGCTTTAGAACTTTAACCAGAATTAAAATTGAAATCTAAATTATTTTTGATATACAAAAAAAAATTGAAATGAAAAAATTTTTTTCCAAAGCAATTGTTTCGTGAATACAAGCAGAAAGTTTTTTGAATCATTCAAACAAATCGGATGCTTATATCTCTCAAAAACTGCCATTTTTTAAACATTTAGCTCGGTATCTTCAAAATCTAAGATGCTAGCCGAAACGTATGGATTTTGAATGAACAAATTTCTAAAAACTCTCATACTATTTTTATTGATGTAACGCCCGACTTTTTAACTCAAATTAAATATTATATATATATACTAGCTGACCCGACAGACGTTGTTCTGTACCTACGTCTACAATTTTTCAATATTTTATACTAATATTTACTGCTTAGTTAAAAATAATAATTACTGTTTTTTGAATTACTATTTACACCAATATATAAGTGATGTTGAATGTAGAACTGTTTCAAATAAAATGATTGTTCTCAATTCCCACAGTTAACACTTTAATTATTTATTTAACAAATATTAAAAAATGTTCAATAAAATTGTATATTAAAAATAATACACTGCGATTTATAGAACAAATTTATTTCCAATAGCTCAACTTATTTTATTGCATTTAAGGGTTATATAGTATTTTTAGCCATACCTGTAGATGTGGATGTATAAATGAATGATTTTTTGTTTATTCACGACTAAAACATTGATTTTCTAAATTTATCACACTAAAAATGATCGTCTGCCTTTTTGATTTATGGTCATAGCATAAGATACTCATGTTGAAAATTGAAATCTTTTAAAAAGTACAACAAATTCAGAAAGAATTAATATATAGCATTCGCGGCAAAGGTGCAATATCACCTTTTATTTTTCTACCCAAAATAATTGCTTCAATAATGTTGCCTATAATTTTTATAATTTTGTACCATATTTTAACTGGCTTTAAGTAATTTTAATATCTAAATTGCATTTTTTTCTCTAATAAATCAATATACATTATTGCTTAAGTTTATATTTGAAGTGAATTAATTTGTCAAATCCTGTTCACATGTGCTCTATTCAACTTACGATCAACAAAATTATTGCTCTGTAAATTTTTTTACTGTGCTCCAATTTACTTGATATTTTGGAAATAGGCTAATCTTTATCTTAATTTCAATGTTTTTAACAATTTGCACTCCGTCACCATCCATCGCATTAATTGGATTATTACTCTTTTAATTCTGATTTTATCAGAACTTGTAATACACTATTTTAAAGGTGATTAAATGAGCTACAACTTTCTCTATCATTAATTTTACCGTAACTTCTCTTATTGTAAAACGGCGAAGGGTTAAAGGGCTCGAAAGACCTCTGGTTGGACAGCTCCTTAATTAATCATACATCTATCAATATTTGTGTAACGAAAAAATAATAAACAATAATAATTAGTCAGAAAAATACCTCGAATTTTCTTATATATATACTTTTATACGTATTCTTTCAGAGGTATTACGATGAGAAATTGGTTGTTTTTTTTTAAATGTTTTTTTTTCATGAAATCATGAGTTTTTTAAGAATCATTTGTACTAAAGTTGTGGTATTTTCTAGAATCCATCAAGATCTCTTAAACCAAGTTAATTCTAGATTGAATACGATTATTTTTAATTTTGGTGGATATGGCACTCAAAGTATTTGATTTAAATGAAAAAAAAAACATTGCATGCGTCCTTTATCTGCATGATAGCTCACTCATTTTACACGCAGAAGTACTCATTTTAAAGCTTATTTTGAGCACTATAAAAACCCATTTTCATATCTAGCCTAATAATGTTCCTAAAACACTATAAAATAACGATTTATTAAGATTTTAATTGATATTATTCTGTTCATTACATGATTTTCGTTAAAATGTATATGTTTGAAGGTGTTAGCAACAAATGATGAAAAACGCAAAAAAGAAACAAATATTCAGTAGCCAGTAACTTGAAAAGTATTTCCTTTTTTGAAAAACATTATTAAATATTTTTCTCGTATAATTAGTTCTTTTATCGATACCCAACGTTATTTTGAAAAAAGTAAAATTACACCACTGAAAAGAAATGTCATCCACCCGAGAAGTGGTAAAGGAGTCTAAATTGTTTTCACTTCTGAAGAGTAAGATGAACCTAGTTCCAAAATTCCAAACGAATTGGAAAATAGTAAAAATTTCAGACCCAAAGCGCTCCATTGAGTAAATATTCCGTACCCAATGACAAACATATGAATTTTTGACACAATGAAACTTCTAAATAATTTTTTTTGTATTGTGACTTAGTATAGTAAGGCAAAACGACCGCAAATTGAATATTTTTGAGCGCAGTCACTTATAGCTCGTCTCTTTTGCACGAATTCGTACGGCGAATCTGTTCGCAAAGTGCGCAAACAAAATTATTGCAAGCAAAAGCAAGCCACGCGCACGTCAGACGCATGCGCAGACTGCATCATCACTTGTCAAACGCATGTTATATTATTTGCATATTATATTAATTTAATTTTTGGCAATTCTCAGCTGCTTTTCGGCATTAATAATGTAGACATTACATTTTCCTTATTCATAATTGTGAATTTATTATATTCTAATATTGCCTTAGCCTATAAGTGAATAGAAATGTTTGGCAAATGACAGTCCTCAATAGTTTTTAATGTCAAACTAAGCTTCAAATATTTTCAAGGGCAAACAATGATAAGCGGTTTTTTGTAATTTTTTCTATTTATTTCTACAATTTAACTATATTTCTATGAATCAAAACATTCTAAAAAAATTCCCGAACAAACTTCAGGAAGATTCATGAAAATCCGAATTATAGTTTAGGAGGAAATATGAAACTTACATTGTTACAGAAGAATTTTATATATAAGATATATATATATATATATATATATATATATATATATATATATAGATAGATAGATAGATAGATAGAATGTTGCGTCGAGATCGACTACAAGCTTCCCAATGAATGGAAATTTTAAAGCGGGAATTGTTTCAAAGCGACTATCAAAAAACATCTTATAGATAAACCTATTTATACAATACATGAATTCTTTAATCTAAGTTAATTATTAGTCATTAGGTTAAGCTTGAGTTTTTCATAAATATCATTGATATTACTATAGTTATATTATAATATTGTGATAAAAATAATAATTGTATTGACGTAAATTGTAAATATTGAATTTAAATAACGCATCTATCCATCTATCTATATATAAGACAGCGATGCATTAATCAGTACAGCCAGTGTATATATAAATATTATAAAAACAAATAGTTCTAAATTTTCATATTCTTTAATTTATCAAACCAGTAATGTTAAAAATATGCCGATACTACTATATACATATACAAATAAATTAACCTCTATACACTTGCTCTATATACAAAGACTATTACATCATTTATCATTCTTCTCCTGCGGTTTCCATGCAGCCAGCACCATGCCCCCCATGAGAGCTGCTACTGTGAAGCCCTGAGCCAATACTCGAAGGCGCATATATTTCTGAGACTTAGCCATGTCCCCCTTACGAAAGTTTGCTAAGCCCATTCCTAAGACAACGGCAGTTACGAGACAACCGAAGGGGACTACTGGGTTTTCTTTCATTTTTCTTATTAACTTTTCTCTGGTAGTCTCGTGGCCCCCCATGTCGGTTCTTAGCTTTATCCATTCGAATTCGGATACTTTATCTTCTGGTTTAGAAGACATGGTTGATAATATTTGGTTTATGTTTTATTTCTTTTGATTTATTAATTTATTAATTCAGGTTAGAATTAGTTTTTTGACATTTTGATTCTGACAGGTTGACAGTTTGACAGTTTGAACATTGGTTTGAAGTTTGAAGCAGTTGACAGATTACGCAGTGATTCTCAAACTCTTTTTTTAACTTTACGAATATTTATTAACTGGTGGTGCACGGGTGCACGGCATCGTACTTTAAGGCAAATTGCTGGAACTTCCCGTATCACAAATTAAATATTAACTCTGAAAAAATCGACCGTTGAGATTTAAAGAAAAAATTTTTTTTTATACTTTTTATACTTTTTTTACTTTAATTTTAGAACTTTGATTCAAATCGGACGCTTAGTTCTCTCAAAAACTGCAATTTTCTGCACATTTAGCTCTGTATTTCCGAAACCGCTGGACCGCTTTTGCCAAAAACTAATCAGCACATCTCCCTATCAATAGGAATCGAATGGTTTTTGAACCATTCAAATCGGTTGAACCGTGTTCCCGAAATCGTGGTAGAAAATATGTATCCGCACACACACACATACATCTATTTTTTCTAAGATATGCCAAAATGTTCAGAAAACCTTAAAACGTAAATATATGCAAAAAAATTATTTTCGATTTTTTTGTGATTATCATACAATTAGGTGTAAGTAAAATTTTATTTTAAGATAAGTTGCATGAACTTACCGATACGATTTAATTAATAAGAATTCATATTTATTAGCTATTTAAACTTCCCGTAGTGTAATTACACTACTATAACTTAAGTTATAGCAATCGAAAATGAAAATTATTGTATATCTTTACGTTTCAAAGGTTTCTGAATATTTTGGCATACCTGAGAAAAAAATTATGTATGTATGTGTGTGTATATGTATGTATGTATGTGCCGATAAAATTTTTCGTCCACGATTTTGAGAACCCGGATCAACTAATTTCAATGATTCAAAAAACATTCGATTCTCATTGATAAGGAGATGTGCTGATTAGTTTTTGGCAATGAAAGGTCCAGCGGTTACGGAGATACGGAGCAAAGCGTGCAGAAAATAGAATTCGAGGTTTTGAGAAAATGGAGTATCCGATTTGAATTCAATTGGTAACGATTGGGAGAAATGATGTTTAGTTTTTGACAAAGGCAGGTCCAGATGTCTTGGAGGTAACGAGCTAATTTCGCAAAAAAATGACAGTTTTTGAGAGAACTAAGCATAATATTTGAATGATTTAAAAAACTTATTGCTTGTTTTGACAAAATAATTGCATTTTTTGCAGTATTTTTCAATTTTTTTTATGTATCAAAATTAATTCTGATTTTAATTTTAATTCTAACAAAAGTTCTGAAGATCACTTATATACTTTAAATAAACAATTTTAACTTTGCAATTCAGTTTATATAATTCTTATAAATATTAGACAATTTATAATAATCTATTTCAAAACATTTAATATTTTTCGAACATTTCGTTATGACACGGAAAGTTCCAGCAATTTGCCTTAAGGCACGATGCCATACACAACTAGTTTTTTTTATTCACCATTCAAATTACAATCTGTCTTAGTGAAGACATTGGCGATTTGAATGATACAAGAAACATTCGCTTCCTATTGAGAAGGAAATATGCTGATTACGTTTTGGACAAGGCAGGTCTAGCCGTTTCGAAGATACGGGGGCAAAAAGTGCCAAAAATGGTATTTCAATTTCTGAGAGAGCTGAGCGTCCGATTTGAATCATTCAAAAAACATTTTATTTGTATTGACGAAATAAAAAATTGGTAAAATTTTTGGAAAGAAAGATCCAGCGTTTCAGGAGATCCAATGAAAAAAGTAAAAAATAATTAATTAAAGTATAAAATAAAAAGTGTTTGGTGGTCAAAAATGGTTATTAGACATATGCACATTATATTATCAAATTTTGTGTACATTTATATTGGTTCCGTACCAATGTTCACACGTTTGACTACAAAGCGGCGCTTACGCGCTTCAATATTTCAATTCCAAAACAGCTATGCAGCGGGATTGCGTTAAAACAATGTTCAAAATTTTCAAAAAAAATAGAAATATAAAAAAATCAAATTTTTCAAGAAAGTCAATTTTTTTCAAAAATTCTCAAAAATCTAATTTTGTCAAAGTTTTTAAAGAAAAAATTAAGTTTCTATGAAAAAGTTTCAGCAATTTACTTTAAGGCACGATGCCATGCGCCCATGCGCCACTAGTTATTTTTTTATTATTGGACCACGTTTTTTTTAGGCTAGGACCGTATAATACATATATAATAAGGAATTAATAAATCTATTATATTATATAGTCTATGGATATTAAGTTTTATTTAAAACAATGATTTCCAAAGTGGTCCATATGGACCATCAGGTGCCCATGACAACTTTCAAGGAGTCTACATCAGCAAAAAGGAATTTCAGACATCCATGATAGTGGATCACAACATACCTTGTTAATATCTATTTTTTATTATTATTTTAGTCAATTAATTAATGTCTAAACCTGTATTTGAATATATACTTTAAATGTTTAACATTAAATATTAGTACAATAGATTTTTTTTTTTAAATCCATATCGGATAAATAGGGGGTCTATGGCAAAACGGGGTCCACGACACAAACAAGTTTGGGAAACTATGATTTAAATCGACATTTATTTAATAATTTTATTAGAAACAAACCTAATATTTTTCGAATAGTTTTTTAATTTTATTGTGTTCAATCGCGTTACGTAGATGGCTTTTATATTTTTGAAACAGTTTTTTTATTATATATGAATTTTTACATCTGTCTTAAAATAGACAAGTAAAACTGTGGGATTGAAAAGGAAATTGACTTTAAAAACACAAAATCGTCTGACCCATACTCTTCTTTTATCTATGGTCTAAATTATTGTTAGAATTTTGAAATAGATGCATCGATTTTTCATAAAATGTCAAAAAAAAATCGGCCTTTACACACACACGTTCACCGAGTTTGACCTCAAACAATTCAGAATAAATTAAATAAATAAATAAATAAAAATAAATAAAACGCGTAGAAAACATAAATTCGCAAATCGGATTTTCTGACGAAAATATAAACTTCTTTGGTAAATTAAAAACTTGACACTATTTATTATAGTATTTTCAACTAGGTGTATGTAAAGCATATTGCTTGAATTTTTCGATATCAGTTTTCAATAATATTTTATAATATTGTACCTTTATATAAGCATACTTACAAAACTAATCGCTTTTTCTCTATCTTAATCCAGTTACACTTTGAATGTGAGTAAGAAATTGGGTAACTCGCGCCGCGTGGTACAGCTCAGATCTTATATATATAAAGTGCTTCTGTGACAATTTATAATTTAATTAACAACATTGCTATTGTTATTGTAGTTTCTATTTTTTGTAGTCTCCTTGACCCATTAAAGGTAGAGACTCAATAGACCGTCAATATTGTGTTATCTGCGCGAGCAGATAACTGTAGAGAAGTAAATAGAAGTGTAACTTCATTAGCTTCGACCGCATGTGTATTTCTACTGAATATTATAAAAATTATAAGTTCTGTTTGAAATCATTTGTGCAAATGTGTCTGATCGTTTAAATAAAGTAGTTTTTGGCAAAGGCTGGTCCATCCGTTTTGGAGATACGGTGCAAAGATTGCAGAAAATAGAAATCGAGTTTTTGAGAGAACGCAGCATCCGATTTGTTAATCTAAACTAGTGGTGTATGGCATCGTACCTTAAGGCAAATTGCTGGAACTTCCCGTACCGTAATGAAATATTCGAGGAATATTAAACGTTTTTAAATATATTATTTAAAATACTGTAACTTTCATTATTTTTCCTATCTTGTTATATCTGAGCAAATCAAATGTAAATCATAAATCAATTTATCTCCAGAACATCATTAACATTCGTTATTTCATTTCGAAGTCAATTTCAACTAGCTGTAAGTGGAATTCTGTCTTAAGGCATCTTGCCTTAAGGCAAATTGCTGGAACTTTCCGTACCAAAAATTATTATTTTTTTAAAAGCGATTAACATTTTTGAAAAAATAAGATTTTTGAGAAACTATAAATTGAACAAAAAATTACTTTTTAAAAAAAAAAAAAATTAATTTTTTTTTTTGAAAAAAATGTTTTCTTTATTTTGACATATTTTGGAAAATCTGAACTTTTTTTCAAAGCAATCGTACTGCTTTAACTGCATAGAGACAAAATATAAAGCGCGTAAGCGCCGCGTCGCTGTCTAACGGATAAACATTGTACGGAACCCATAGGAATGTAAACAAAATTTATACTTATTGTTAAAATCTCTATAAAATATCTGATAATTTGATGTGCATATGTCTAATGATCATTTTTGACCGCCAAATGGCATTTTTTTTACTTTTTTCGTTAGATCTCCGAAACCGCTAGACCTGCTCCTATGAAAATTTGAACAATTATGCATCTTGTCAATACAAGTAAAATGTTTTTTGAATTATTAAAATCGGACGCTTCGTTCTCTTGAAAACTGAGGTAACAGTTTTGGCACTTTTTGCCCCATATCTTTGGAACGGCTAGACCTGCCTCCGCCAAACACTAATCAGCACGTCTCCTTATCAATACGAATCGAATGTTTTTTGAATTATTCAAATTGCTTCATCCATGTTCCCGAAATCGTCAACGAAAATTTGTATCCGAACACACATACATACACGCACACACACATACACACACACATACGTCCATTATTTCTAAGGTATGCCAAAATATTCAGAAACCTCTGAAACATAAAGATATATAAAAATTTTCATTTTCGATTTTTTGCGATTACTATAACTTACCCTAAGGGAAGTTAAAAATATTTCATTTGTAAAGATTGAGAGAAGTGGTTATTAGTTTTTGGCAAAGGCAGGTCCAGCCATTTGAAAGATACAAAGCTAAATGTACAAAAAATGGCAGTTTTTGAGAGATATAAGCATCCGATTCGAATGATTCAAAAAACATTCTGCTTGTGTTGACAAAACAATTGCTTTAGGAAAAAAAACTTTTATTTCATTTTTTTCCGAAAATAATTCAGATTT